GCAGCCCGACGAGAAGATGCAGGGCGACGGGCGGCGGCCCGACGAGAAGCTGCAGGGCGACGGGCGGCGGCCCGATGAGAAGCTGCAGGGCGACGGGCAGCGGCCCGACGAGAAGAAGTGGAGCGAAGACGATTGTAAAAAAATGCGATTGGTTAAAGCATCGACGATGCGCTTACCAGAGAAGTTGCGAAAGTCGTCGAGAAGGAAGGGAGAGTGGCGAGGGAAAATTTCCGGCCAAGGAAGTCGCGAATCACCGGCGACGGGATTGATGGCGGCTACACCAAAGAAAGCAGGACAAGAGTCCGTTGAGATAGGAGGATCATGATACGCGTGTGCGGTTGAATTGCTCTGATACCATGTTAGAACTTGAGCTTAGAATCCATACACTAGTAATGAGCTCAAGGCTCTTTAAGTACATTGGAAATGGGCAAGGTAGGGGTGGAGAGAGCACTAGGATATAAAAAAAGTACAAGTACGAATGTGAGATTGAGGGCTAACATTAACACCCTTTACCTAATCGCGAGTAGGAAATGTGATCGAATCTCAAGTTGCGAGTTTGTTGTAAGTGCCATGATAAGAGATCTGAACTCCTCTCGCAAGCCCTAGTAGATGTGATAGCGAGTTTGGCGGGTACATGGTGGGGCTTAACGTTTTTGAAATTTTGACCCAACCAGTGCGACAAAAATGTCGCACTGGATGGTTCCATCGAGTCTCAAGAGTTCATCAACAGCAACCCGCAATTCTGAATGGAGCCCAAAACTCGAACCTGTCTGTTCAGGTCTAACACCTTAGTGTTCTACCCTAACTAAATAGGTTTTAGAAAAAAAAGTTAAAGTCCGTATGTTCAAGTTCGGTTTGACAAAGGTGCATGTTGAATGTGTTCGCGTCAAACGGGTTCGAGTTCGATCGTTGCTCATGTCTAGATAGTGGCACATAGTAGGCGACTTTCTAGTACTGTTAGAACTTCGGAACTAAGTTAGTAAATCTCGCGTAAAAATCAAGATTGGGGTGCGGGCTATGAGCTATGGGCTGAAGATTGGCGCTACGGTTGGGTTGAGCTCAATGTCGAAATCAGTGCTGTGACGAGTAGTAAGCGGTGGCGAGTTGGTTGCCAATTCTCATGTCAACAAACTTGTTGGGGAGAAGGAGGGAGATCCTGTCTTTGCTCGGTCAGTGACAAAATCGCCGATCTGCACAGATTGAATCGCCGGTCTGCGCAAATCGGTGGGCAAAAGCGAGTATCCCGACCCGCCTCCTGGTCAGCCGGATCCGGGCCCGAGTCCTATCGACCCACCTCTATAAGACCGGGATGGGTCAGGATTCTGGATTATTGTACCGGGGGGGAACCTGCCCAACCCAGACCTGGTCGGGTCAGGCCAGATCGGAACGGGTCGGGCGGGGTCAGGCCGATTGCTCATGCCTACTCAACCCCAGTGCCGTGTTCCTTCTGCCATGGCTTCTGGACCACCTCTCTATACCCCCTTTCTTTTTTACATCTCGTTTTTCCAGTGGACAATCCAGCCCTAGCCCATGATCCTTCTTTGTGAAGCAACTAGCCACTGTGCAATTGAAATTAATCACCTGACAATAGAAATAATCATCTTCTCATATGTAAGGCAATGATATGTAAGGCAAGTAGTATCAACAACCATCTCTGTTGGTTGGCCGACTCAGTGTTGGTGGTCAGGCCAGCCCAACCAACAAACTTTGGTTCCTTGCCACCAGCAGCTCTTTCCCCTCCTTGCCACCAGCAGATATCTCCCCTTCTTGCCACAAGCATCTCTCTCCCCTTGTTGACACCAACAGCTCTTTCCGCTCCAACATGCTGTCAGGATCCTTGCCCTCCTCGATAACAGGGCTCTCAGCAGTTTCAAAATTGTGAGGGGTCAAATGGTTTGCTAGAAATGCGGTTGCTCCCGACTCTTCTGGTCAAACTTACTATTACTTTGACCTCTGATTGAGCCCTGACTGTGACAGTGAAGAGGTACGTCCAAAAGTAGGAAGTACGGTGTTGTCATTCTGCTACACTGAGCAAGGTGCATGAGAGTGGAAAGTGCATAAGCGTGGAAGGCGTATGAGAGTGGAAGGTGCATAAGAGTGGAAGGCGTATGAGAGTGGAAGTGCTCCTGTGAGTGCTCAAGTCGCCCACAGTCAAGAAACGCCCCCTCTAGTGAACCCGCGATTCTACGAACTGGAGACGCGATTTTCAAGCTGGAGTCGCGTTTCCAATGTTGTAATTCGTGGCTCAAGGCTCAAGCCGCATCCCCAAAGTTGGGAAACGTGCTGAGGTGTGCCCTAAAGCCGAATGTGGGGCACCTAGAAACTGATCTGCAAACACAATTAGTCTTGCCAGCTCGAGCGGGAAACAGATCTGCAAGTACAAATTTCACAAATCCACCCCCCACCACCTACTCTCTCCCCCCTCCAGTGTCGAAATCGAGTAATCCAGTACTCGTATATTCGCGAGTAAAAAATTACTCGAGAGTAACGTAATTACTCGTTAATCGCTTGCAGAAACAAGTAAATCGCAAGTACCTCAATAACTCGTGGAGAAATACTCCACTCGACAAAATCGAGTAATTTCTCGGAAACAGCCGACAAAATACTCGACTCGTTGCGCATGTCTACTGTAGTTCATTGTATGAATGTGTTTGTTGTGCTGGGTATGCTACCAGAGCAGTGTTCTGCATGCGTGCCCTCTCTGTAACTTGTATGTGCACGTGCACTGCACAGGTTTTTACAGAGCAATCATTTCAGTGGAAGGATTCCTGACTCTCTTGGGGAACTTTCCCAACTACACTACCTGTAAGCTCACGTGCGGCTGCAATTCTGGCCCTCACACCATGTCCTTGGTCAATCCTAAATCTATGGCATTTCTAGGAAATCATGCCTTTGCAAAATGCATCTAGCATGCGAGCCCCAGTGTGGCTTCTTGGTGCTTTCTCTTATGGCATTGGCGTGAACCTCGTGTGTCGTGTACCGCTGGAGACACTTCTACCAGGCAGCAAATCAATCTAGCAAGTTAATATAGCGAGTGAATTTAGAAGGTGAATTTAGCAAATGAATCTAGCGTGTGAAACTGGTAAGGGGATTTTTATAATGAGTCCTGCACGTGAATTTAGTGTGTGAATCTGGTAAGGGGATTTTTCTAATGAGTCCTGCACGTAAATTTAGCGTGTGAAACTAGAAATTGAATCTAGCGAAGAATTCTAGCAAGTGAATCTTTCAAGGGAATTAAGTAAGGGAATCAAGTGAATCAAGCACATGAATCTAGAAGTACTGATAGCGAGTGAACCTAGCAGATGAATCTAGTATGTGAGTTTAGCAAGTGAATCCAGCACGTGAATCCAGAAAGTAAATCTAGCGACCGAATCTAGCATGTCAATTTAGCATGTGAGTATTGCACAATTCTTCTGTATCACCACCACGCCTCTGGCCACGGTTCGTGTCTGCTCAGCCCTTCAATCTCCTCTCGCTCACCTATCCAACCTGGTCTCCATCCCTCCTCACTCTCCCCTTCTATCTTTCCGGTCACCCTCCTCTACCATTTTTCCAACTCCCCACCATGGCCATCAGGTCTCTTGCCTTCAACGAGCTGTATGGGAGCATACCGAGCACTATCACCAAGCTCACACAGCTCATATTCTTGTACAACCCACACACTACCTCACTCCTTTCTGCATGCTCTGGCATTCTCCCTCTCATACGCATTCAACAAGTCATGCACCCATGCTCGCTGTTCTCTCAAAATCATGCTGTGAGCGAGCCAACAGCAGCACCAGCCGCGCCATGCATGCTCCCTGGTCACAAGGATCAGGGAAACAAACACAGTTTTGAGCAGAGAGGCGGGATTCTTCAAGTGAGGGTAATGAACACTGAACACTTACCAGAACTAAACAAAATGTAATAATTTTCTTGAATGTGCTCCAATTGGAATCCAGGGGACTGGTTCTGGTAGACATGAGCATTTTTCCAAACCTCAAGCACATTCGGGTCGAACATGTTCTACCCCTTTCTTTTGTAAAAAAGGTTCGCTCGAACATGTTCGGGGTTCGCCCCAAGTGTTCAAAAAGTTCTATGGGGAAAATTCCCGAACAACAAACATGTTTGGGAAGTTTCCCCGCTTTTCCGAGCATTAGATGTTCGGAAAAAAACGGCGCGACATTTGTTGCGCTGGTTGGATGTAAGGCCTAAGGAAAGCATAGATCGAGGTCATTTCGACCTTGATCTACGCTTTTAGGTTAAGTACAGTGCAGTAAGGAGTACTAGGCTCATTTCCAGCCCATTTCCACCCAACTTAACGGTTTCTTATGGTAACTTGGGTTAATTAGTCGTTACTTAGTCGTTTTCTAAAACTGTTGCTTTTTTGGGAGTTTCCCACGCGCCCTGCCCTCTTCCCCCGTGTTCCCCACCCCCTAAACATGTATGGGCAGGTGTTGTTGTACTTAATAGCATGAAACAGGGGTGGTGAAACCTGTTAACTCACAGAATCTGCGAAGTCCTTATTTTCAAACACCAAGCATGTTCGGAATTTGCCGAACATGTAGATGTTCGGCGAACAGTAAACATGTTCGCCCACGCTAACCAAACACCAAACATGCAAAAGGTGAAAATAATGTTCAGGCAAACCGAACATGTTCGGATCGCCCTATTAAACTGTTCGGGGGATCTCTGGCAAACGCGTTTGGTCTTTGCTCGTTGCTCATGTCTTTTACGAAGTCGCTCGTTGCTCATGTCTTAAACTGTTACTTTTGGTGTTCGCCCGTTGCTCATGTCTAGGTTCTGGGACGTGCCAACCAAGCATGTACTATAGTTTTTATTGTGGAAACTGACTTTAACATCATTACGTGAATGCTCGTGGTTGCTTGCCATGCTTGCGGCCTTCAAATATTCTCCACCTCGACATCCTTTGGGTGGATTCCTCATCCTCTCCCTTCACCTCCTACTTCCCCATCTCAGCCCACCATTTCCTGATATGCCTCTTCTTCCTCTTCACGTCAATGCGTCAATACGATTATATGGATTTTGCCTGCCTCCTACTGATTTACCTCATGTTCCCCCTCGACTCCGCTTCTCATACTCCTTGTTTTCCTTTTATGCTTTCCCGTGTCCGTCCTCTTCTCCTCCCTCATTCATACACGTGCTACTCATCAAACCCTCACACCTTCCCTCCTTGGACTCCACTTTTCCAAGTCTGGATGCAATGAGGTGATCTCCATACGTCTTTCTCCCGGCACCTACCCCTCCCCCCTGCAGCGACCTCTCCCACAACTACCTCACAGGACCTGCAGTGATGCCTCTTGCTGCACGCTTCCTGGATCTCTCCAGCAACTTCCTCTCGGGCCCTCTGCCCGACGAGGCATGCCAGCCACTCTCTTTTGATGCCAACTGCTTCACTCTGCCGCTTGGCTGTGACTTGGTGCCGCAACGGCAGGAGGCAGCATGCAATGCATTCTGTGGCGTCTCCTCTTCTGCTGGTGCTGCTGCTGCGTGTGGAGGACATGGCGTGTGTTATCCAGAGGGAGCTAGCTTGGCACCCACATGTCTATGCGACGCAGGATTTGTGCAATTTGGAAAGATCAGCTGTGTTGCCCAAGGTAGGGGACACCACTTGAAATCGATGAAACATGATCACAGGCAGATTCACAAAATGGTGGCACGTCCAACTCACATGAACTCCAGTAGCTTGTAGATTGGAGATCTGTTCCACCTTCGTAGGTCTCACCCTTTCATGCCTCCATATTGTTAGACATAGACATCCATGTGAACTTTTGTACTTGCACTTTCATCTCCTACTTTAGCATAGTAGTTTTCGTGGTCGGGTGTTACACCAATATCCCAACCCAACCCAACTGTGATGTGACCAGCTGAAATCTCCAGCCCCTCCAATTGAAGATTTCAGCTGATCTACTTGGGGATTTCCCCCCATTCCCTGTCCATCTGTTCCAACCCATTTTCTGAAGTAGTAAAGAACCTTGAGCTTCTTCAATTCTTGCTCATGTTTTTACGCATTTCTTACTCCTGTCCATCCCTCTGTTATATTTGTGCAGGCCAGGACAGAAATTACTCGACCAACCAGCCGGTTCTCCCACCAGCATCTGTGCTCACCAAGGGGACGCAGCGCAAGACAAGTGGGAACTTCACTGCAGCGCCAGTGACTCTGTTTGTGTACAGGGCAGGGCAGGCGCTGTCAGGGTGTGGGCTGGAGCTTGCCTTCCACGCCAACTTCACCTTCTCCCTCTTGCCTCGATCTGGCCGCGTGGGTTTCAACGGCTTTGCATTTGTCGTCTCGGCAACGGACCGGGTGGGGAGCGGCGCCGGTGTGGGGTATGGTGGAATGGACATGCGGAGCATGGCGATTGAGTTTGACACTCTGCAGAACAAGGAGCACGGCGACATGAGCAGCCAGCACGTGGGGCTGAACATTCGAGGCGAGGACAAGTCGCTAGCCGCTGTGAGGTCGCCCTTCCCTCTGAGCAACAGGAAGGCGTACACGGCGTGGGTGGACTATGAGCCGGGGGACCCGGGCACCATCCAGGTCTTCCTAGCTGCCTCGCAGGAGAAGCCGCAGCAGGCGGTGCTGGAGAGGAGGCTGGCACTGTGTGAGGTGCTCCAGGGTGCAGCCGAACGGCCCGCTTTCTTCTTTGGCTTTGTGGCGTCCACCACTGTGAAACCGTTTCAGCGGCACGTCATTCTTGATTCGACAGTGGTTACTGGTAGGCAGTGTGTGCTGGCAGGGCGATGAACTTGGCATGGTGGTTAACAACACTGGAGGTGCGGTCTGGAGGATGTGAAGGAGGTGGCAACGAGCATGGGAGTGGATGGTGGTGTAAACTGTCGTGACGATGGGGGTAGTTCTGGTAAAAATAGTTGCTGTGCTGGTGAAGATGAGGGCAGTGTTGGTGAAGATGACGGCACTGCTGGTGAAGGTGAGTGTACTGCTGGTGCTCATGAGGGCATTGATGGACGGTTTGTCCAATACATTCTATCTGAAAGTGGATGCGCGGTTTGACCAATACATTCAATGTGAAAGTGACAACTAATATGAGTCACAATCTCTGAACCTTAAAAGGCATTTTTCTTCGCTCTGATTGCTTCGTTTCTTCTCAGGCCTTCCTGCTTCTTCCCTACCAGTCACACGTAATCCAGGTGAGACATCGTCTCCCATGCTTCTGCTGCGACTCTCACAATTACCTCTGTTAGAAGGACAAAAGAGGCAAGCGTTGTGACTGACTGACTGTTATAATCGTCTTGATATTTGTACAAATGTTTGCCCTCAAGTTTGTTTATCTTTCCACTATCCTTACCATTCATTTACTTTTTTTGAAGGTTCTTCATTTTGAATGTGCATGCATTCAGTAGATTAGGTGCAAGCAGGAGGAATAACCTACACCATGTGGTTGATGGTGCTCAGCACAGTGCACCTAAATCCCAAGCAAACTGGAAAAGATAAACTGAGCAACAATGTTTATGCTATTCCGATTTAGGGAAACGTTTTCTTTATGAGAGGCCTGAATCGCGCATTACTGAAGTATCAGTAATGGTGCATCAGCACTCAACAGAGTGCTTGTTTGGTGGATGTGAAATGGATGCAGAATGGCCACATGAGATGCACATGTGATCAGATATGGGGTGCAGCCCAGCAATGTAAGGGTAATGCACGCACCCCATCCCATTGTATTCATTATCCTCCTTCAAGATCTTCTTGTAACAACTTGTCAACTTCACATCCCGTTCCTTCCTCCGTACTGCAACTCCGGAGCACGTCCCAGCCTATGGCCTGCAGCTATCAACGAACACGTACATGCCAGCATGGGCCAGCCCCTTCCCGCGCTACGTGAGTGCGGACTACCGAGTGGCGCCCAGCAAGCAGGACTCGTGGGTCATCAGTGACTTCCACTCCTGGGACTGTGTCCCCTTCCTTGGCTGGCCTGTTAAGGACCAAAAAGACTGCAGTGAGTGAAAACATTGGGGAACCTGGAGAATTATGTTAGAGCCGATAGCTTGGTTGGTGTGTCTTGATTGGTTGCTACAGTCTGCGTGTTTCCGTTTGCTGTTATGCTGCTGGTCACTTTCATGTTTCAACTAGACGTGAGCAAATGGGTGAACCCCTATTCGGCTCGACACAAACATCTTAAAGCTGTATTTTTTGGGGGAATTCTTCTCAACCGAACATTTAAGTGTTCGGCATAAAATGTTCCACCGAAACATGATGCAAGTGTTCCGGGTTAACATGTTCAATTGTTAAATTGCTGGTGTCGAGGCACGTTGAACATAAAACATGTTCGAGTGTTTGAAGTGTCCAGTTTGTGGATGAAGTGCGACAGCACTGGAAGGGAGGGTCTCAATGAGCAGGACCTGGACGGGGCTGTGGAGGGGAGTTGGGGGGCTGTGGAGTGGGGGGGGGGGGGGGGGGGGGGGGGGGGGGGGGAGGGATGTGGAGGGGGGTTGGAGAGTTGTGGAGTTGGGGGGGAGGGGACCGAACACGTTCGTGTTCGGGTCGAACACCAAACTGTTCTCCCCCATAGGCGGACGTCGAACACCACGTTTTGGAAATGGTGTTTCATTCGAACCCGAACATGTTTGGTTCGTGTTGGAGAAGTGTTTGAAAGTGTCTCAAGCACGTTTGAGTTCGCCCATTGCTCACGTCTAGTTTCAATTATCGTACCATGCTCGTCGCAATACGTGTTTCCATCATTCTTCAACCATCGTCGCATCAGCTTCAATTATCTATGAAACTGTTTTCATCATATCCAGGTGCTTGTTGGGCGTTTGCGCTGGTGGCGAGTGTGGAAGCGGCATATGGCATTGCAATGAATGCAGAGGCGCCGCGGCTGTCAGTGGAGTCACTCTTTGCAGCCATGGGGCTCACCTCCGAAGCTGACAAGTGCAGCACGGGGGGCTCTCCCACCGAGGCATTGGAAAGGCTTCTCACGCTGCCTCGCGGTGGAGTCACGGAGGCTGGATCGCCTGTAAGTAGTGTGGTGATGTGAAAGACTAGAGTGTGTAGATTTTCATGAGATTTGGGAACTTTGTGTGGTGTTCCTGATGTTGAGAGGGTTGCGACTGTACAACTGGTGATATACGAGGATCTCTCTGAGTCGATGAAAGCCACTGTGATATACGAGGGTTGCGACTGTACTACAACTGGTGATATACGAGGACCCTCTCTGAGTCGACGAAAGCCACTGTGATATACGAGGGTTGCGACTGTACTACAACTGGTGATATACGGTTGTAACTCAAACCGAATTGAACTAACGTCCTGTTAGCATACAAGAGTGCCTGAAGTTTCATACACAGTGGCCAAGAGGCCATGTTATGGCAGCAAGTAGCAAACAGCTAATACCAGGCATAATCAAAGGTCGTCCTAGGCCGACTTGCCCCGAGCCGGACGAGGGCCGAGCCAGACTTAAAATTCCATAAAACATTCAGACAGCAGCGTACATGGATACACATTGTATATTCTACTCATTCTGTGATGCACCCTTCATTATACTGCTTGCTATGATTGGCCGCTTTCATCTTTCTTTATGTTTCTTTCTCTTCCTTCCTATCTGTTATAAAATCCTTTCTGAAATATTCATCTTCAGAAAAAGGTGTACCCAATTCACGGCTTTGAGCGCACAAGGTTCAAGGGGTTTGTGGGGCTCATGCTGGCAGTGCGACGACAACCAGTGGTGGTTCACCTTGAAGCTTCTGCTCCGGATTTTGCACAATATGACGGGGTGGGTGTTTCTTTCGTTGACCCACTATGCTGTGCACAAGTTGTCAAGAGCTGTACCGAAGTTGTTACCCGCATTAAGTTGTATCCCTCAAAACCAACCCAGAGTTGTGCACAAGTTGTTACCCGCATTATGCTGAATGCCTGAAGTGGTTGTTTGTTGTTTGTTGCGGTGCCCCCATTCTCTTCAGACCTTCAAGTACCAGAATCCTGGCTGCTATACCGGCAAACTCAACCACGTCGTACTCGTTATTGGCTACTTTGTTTTAAGAAGTAACGGGAGCCAAAATCGAATTGCGCCTCCATTTTGGGTCATCCGTAACTCGTGGGGAGTGGAGTGGGGTGACCGGGGCCACATGCGCATGGACATTCAAGGAGGGGATGGCGTGTGTGGCATCAACGTCCTGCCTGGCATCTACCCCATAGTCAAGAGTGAGGCATCTATTCCATTGTCAAGAGTGAGGCATCTACCTCGTGGTCTTGAGGGGGGCCGCTTCCCCCATCGCGCTCCCCATATGGAAATCCCACCTTTTGAGTACATCACATGATCAACTATATTTGGGTTAGGGTGAAATACACAGAAGAAGCATTCAGTCAACGTTTAGTTTAGAGGATGGCTTTTGTTTTTGGCTATGGATTAGAGTGAGGTAGAAGCATTGTCAACAGAGAGAATGGAGTGTGAGCCAATGGTGTCCCCAAATGTAAGGTGGTCAATCACAAAATTGTAAGTTGTTTCCAGATTTTACATCTGTCATTTTGCTAAGGCTTGTCTATTCCTGCCCACTAACTATTCCAATGAAGCTGCATATGCACCTGCTTCTACTCGTCCCGTTCTCGTCTGTACCACCCTCCAGTCCCCAAGGACCCTTGCGGCCAGAGGAGCTTCAAGGGCGATGGTGACCTGCAGCCCAGCATGAACCCGTGTGGGCGGTTCACATGCCGGGCTATTCTACGGAACAACAGCAACTCGTGTGACTGTTCTATTCCCAACGAGTCTAAGCAGCCATTTGTTCAGGTTGCAAACGGATATGGCTCCCAAACGTGTGCTTACTGTAAGTTGTTCGATCCAGGTTCTCAAATGATAACTTGAATCCATGTCGGTTGTCAGAACAATGGTCATTTTCAGAACAACGGGCTTCTTTGATCTTCAGATATTCTTTCACCCAAGCCCCTGTCTACATCCTTTTGGAGTTCTATCTCTCCAATCCCCACCCCCTCACTCTCCCATTGCTCCCAACGCATATATCTCCTAACGCTGTGCTCCACAATTGTGTTTGTGTCGCTTGGCAGTGGATGTGTGTGGGCTGATGACCAATCAGGCCCTGACGGGCAGGAATGCCAGATGGGCAATGCGGCTCCAAGAATATGATTTCACCTTCAGACACCGCCCAGGCAAAACCATGCAGCATGTGGATAAGCTCTCCAGGAACCCTCCATTAGAAAATCAATGTCGCTATACCTACACTTAACAGCTTAAGTTTTCTCTGTCTATTTTTTTGCCGACTCATCATGCAAACGGTATGCCATCCCCTGAATGGTTGATTGAAAAATTTCCTGTGTTCTTCACTGCAAGGCATTGACTGCAATCAGGCATTGCCTCGTAACATGGTGCTTCAGCTGGGAAGTCCTCTCCTCGTTCCCTGCACTGCGTTCTTCTACACGCTCAGTGTGAGAATTAGCCCTTTATATTTTCTTTGTTGTATGGAATCTCATCAATCATTCCTCTATATTCCCCACTCCACTTTGCTTAGCTCTGCAAGACTGTCACGTAGTAAAGCTGCACTCCATTCACATCAGGCTCCTGTGACTTCTCTCCCGTTGCTCCACCCTCCAGGGCGACACATGCTGGTCCATCAGCGCCCAGCTGTTCCTCACCACTAGCAACCTCACCACACTCAATCCCGGCCTCGACTGCTCTGAGCCCATCAAGGCGGGCCGCTCTCTGTGCATCGAGCGCAACGCCACCTTCGCCTACACTGTGCCTCGGTGCCTGCAATATGGCATGCTCATAGCACAGGACACGTGTGAGCGCCTGCTGCTGCAGGTGGCGGGGAGTGAGGATGACCCATCGAGGGCTGGGAAGGAAAACGCTACACGCTGGGCTGAGCTGTACCGCAACAATCCCGGCCTCATCTGCTCGAGTGTCATCCCAGTATCCGCCTCTGCTGTTGGCAGCAACACTGGCGTGCAGGTGAGGGGTAGAGGGGAATTGGGTTGGGGTTGCAAGAGATGGGAAGGAAATGGATTGAAAATTGGTGGGTGAACCGAACGTATATTTGATGTGTGAGGGGGCAAGGAGTCATTTCTCATATACCAGAGAGTGTTTTTCCAACTTTTTGCCCTGCATTGTTCTTTGAGTGTTTGCTATTTTTTTTCTCTCAATACATCTTTGCTTTCTTTGTTGTGATGCTACCGTTTCAGGTTTGCCTAAGAGCAGAGTATTGGCCATTCGTTGTTGGCATATGCAAGAAGGGCAGGCAAAAACCAGTGTCACCATCATTGACATGCTCGGGTGCTTACAGTTTCTATGGTGGAGCTGCAAATGGAGCAATCTCAAAATATTATGTGTACAATGAGAAGAAGTGTGTTGGTAGTGTAGGGTCCAAGTTCATTTGTGTGCCATGATTTCTGTTGGGTATAGTCTTCTCTGTTCGTAAGATGTACTGCATTGTGTTAATCTGATGCATAATGAATACGAGGGCTAATATTATCAGACTATATTAGTCTGATTGTCTGAAATTTCAGACGATTTCCTAGGAACCTTGATTTTTCAGAGTACTTCAGACTTACCGCACCTTTTGTTGAATGCTGGAAAGATAAGTCTTCACCCTGCATTGCGAGCACATCCCTCGCCTAGTGTTTTCACAAAGTATCGCGCACAAGTGACTAGTGGTTGTTGTGTTGATCTGCTTTGTACGTTGCACCATGTCTAAATGTTTTTTCCCTTGTGATTCATGTCTATACCAGGCCCCCGGATTGGTTTTGGGCCACGCTTTTCCGTGAGTATTGATCCCTGGAAAAACAAATTTTCTCAGCGTCCGTTAAAAAAAAAAAACAACAAAAAAACCCTGAAAAATCAGTGTTATTGTTATAATGAAGAACTTTCCAATCAGTGTTGGTACAAATTCCGCAACAGCACGTGAAAGTTAAGTGCGACGCCAAGTACAGCCATGTACAATGAATATTCCTTTCCCCGTGATTGGCGCTGACGGCAGAAATGTTTTGAGAGTTTTTTTGCCAATCCTAAGAATCCACGCATTTTCACAACCAGAAATAGGTTTGATGGTGTGGTTTCAAATCAGCGTTACAAGCCAAACATACACTGAAATTTCAGTGTTGGTATAAGAAACCTAACTGAAAAATCAGTCTAGGGGCAAAAAAAAACCCTGAAAATAAATGTTTCAAGGGCCAATTAGCGCAATTTTCCTAACTTGTGGGGGCCTGGTCTGCACTGTTGGGTGCAAAATATAATATGTGCGTCAACCTGTCGCCTATTCGTCCAGCAAGGTGAAATTCGAAGGTATTTGTTCCAAGACAATTTGTGTTGTGTGGAATGCGCATTTGTGTGCTTTTCATTTTGGGATTTGCGGTTTATGGATCGTCTTAGCGATTCATGGATTATGTGCATTTTAGTATGAGGTTGCAGGGCCTGTGCTAGGATTTAGGGCATGCTGAGGCCTCTGGGCAACGCTTGAGAAGGTAAAAAATGCCCTGATTTTTCATGGCATATCTATATGGCTATCCTGAAGTTTCAGGGTACCTGTAGGCCTTATCCTGATATCTCACGGCAAAACAAATTGCAAGACCCTGATTGGTAATGCAGTGTGCTAATGAGAGAATATTGCAACTCAGGGTGCATGCGATAAATAAATGTGCAACATGGCAGAGGATCGTTCGTGCCAAGGCAGGACCATATTATGGGGGGGGAACGAACACATGCACGTTCGACAATATCGTGAAGTAACAGGGTAGAAAGCAGCATCATCCTGACATTACAGGGCAAATATATAAAAATATCCTGAAATCAGGGTAATCATGATCTTTCGCACTGATATCGTGGGCCCTGTGAGGTTACATTTATACATTTTAATGATTGTTTGTATTTGTTTCGTGTTGTTTGTGTTGTTTCATGAATGTGTGTGGATTTTGAATGTTCATGTTTGTTCATGAGGCTTCGCATGTTAGTCATGAGTGTTTGCATGCTGTTCGTGCAAGCTTCATGAGCGTTCATGTATTTTGATGTTCGTTCATGAATGCTTATGTTTCGTTCATGATGTTCACGTTTTGTTCATGCGTTTTCATGACTGCTCATTGTGTGAGTCGGGTGCGCCAGGAGGTGGGGCTTGAGTCATTTACTGGGCCCTTTGACCAGTTTCGCGCTGGTAAAAAATCGCGCGACTGTCAGGACCCGCGCGTGGGGTCCTGGCATGCGCGTGTGACCCCACAGGCCCATGCATGTGGCTGGTTACTGTTGTGCGAGGGCACAATGCCCATGATCGCAACAAGACAGTGGTGGAGGGGTGGATGGTAAAAGGTGTAGTCAAAGGAGCCCACTGGGAAACCAAGGAAGACACAGGGGAGGGCGCGAACCGAGAGCTTGTCCGCAGAGGTGTCCCGAACAAGCGCAAGGCATCCCCAGACACGAAACTTTGACACAACACCAGGGGACTTGGTCCAAAGACTGTTCGGTGAAGCCCCTTGCCATGAGACACAAGGCGAGAGGTTCAGCTGGTGAGCATCGTAGCGAACCGCTTAGGGCCACAGAAAATGGGGCGTGCGGGCGTGGATGATGGAGGTGCGGGCCATCTTCATGACCAAGCCTATGCGGCGCTCAGCAACCCCATTCTCCTGTGGGGACTCCAGAAGCGTCCAAGACTCGGTGATGCGCTGCTCGCTACAGAATCCACGAAGAATGCTGGAGCGAAACTCACCCCCAGGGTCGGAGTGAAGACAGCTGACACGACGGCCACGAGTGGTCTAAGTGGCCAGCAACCACCTGATCAGCGTAGAAGTTACATCGGACTTCTTCGCCAGGAGGAAAACAGTCGTGTAGCTGGAGTAGTCGTCAACGGCCACCAGAAAGAAGCTCTCCCTCTGTAGCCTAGGTGAGGGGCGGGGACCCAGACGTCTAGGTGGAAAGAAAGAGCGGTGGCCGGGTGAAGGGAGGAGGAATGAGGAGTGGCGCGCAACCTACCCTTGACGCAAGGGGTGCACAGTGGTGCAGGCGAAGGAGGGAGTGACGCAAACACGCGCGGGAGATCGGAGACAAGATGCTGGCTAGATATACTACGGAGGTGTGGGGCGGACAAGGGACCAAGACGATAGTGCCACAGGACTGTCACTTGGGTGAGAGACCGACCGAAGCACGACGCAGCAACATGACCAGACGCTGCTACCTGGGCGGGAGCAGTGTGCAGAACAAAGAGACCCAAGTGAGGCTCCCTAATGAATGTTGCAAAAAGTGCCCCAGTGGAAGTGTCCGTACATATTGTAGTTCTCCTATGCACAAGAAATGTAAGTGTGATCCCAATGCAGCGCCTTCGTCAGGAAGTCGGCCGAGTGCTCAGTAATCGGGATGTACTTCAGCAAAAACCTCCCGCGCTTCACCATGTCCTGCAGCCAGGCTTGTCGCCGCTCCATGTGCTTGAGGTTGCACGTCAACCCCATGCCCTCGGCGACCGTGATGGGCGACTTGTTGTCCACTCGAAGGACCGTCGGCGTCCCGGCGCCCAGCTGCCGGAACTCTGCAAGAAGGAAGCGAAGGCGGCGTCCCTCCTTGCCGGCTTCGGTGGCCGCCACGTACTCCGACTCGGCGACAACATTGCGCACTTGATGCGCTGGCTCGACCAGAAGACTGCAACCCATCCGTAGACGAGAATGTACCCTCCTGTGCTCGTCAAGATGTGTTTGTTGCCGGTGTTGTAAGCGTCCACGTAGCCGACCAACTCCAACGTCTCAGGTCCACTGCCGCACTTCAAGGCGGTGTCGCGCGTGTTGGCGAGGTAGGCGAGGCAGCGGTCGACCTTGCGCCAATGCTGGTTGCTCTTCACCGTGAGGCCACTCCCCAGCTTGCTGCAGCGAAGGCGATGTCCGGCCTCATCGTCGTCGCCGTGAATTGCAGCGAGCCGACCTTCTGCCGGTACTCCTCCTCCTCCTGACGATCCTGTGCCTCCTCGTCATCGAACGTCAGCTCGGCGTAGGAGTCGACCGAGACCGGCATCTTCGGAGTACGCCCGGTCTGCTCTTCGACGAGGAACCACCTACGCAGCTTGTCGGCGTAGCCCTGCTGGTGCAGCCACATCTTCCTCGCCGGCATGTCGCGCACGATCTCCAGCCCGAGGTACTTCTACACCGGTGAGATCTCGCGGAGCTCGAAGGCGGCCTCCAGTAGCTCCTTCAGCTTCTTCAACATTTCGGTGATGCTGCTAGCGGCGAGCAGGTCGTTGACGTAGACCAGCACCCAGCAGGCTACACCGTTGCCACCGACCTTGAAGTAGATTGCCGTGTTGACCTGGATCTTCTTCCAACCAGCGCCGTGTCGACCTGGATCTTCAAGTCGAGCTGCATCAGGTTGAGGTTGAGGACGGCCACGATGCTGAGGAAGATCCTCAGTGTGACGTAGCTGCCCACCAGCGCGTACGTCTCGTCGTAGTCGGCGCCATACACCTGCATGAAGCCCTTCACAACCAGCCTCGCCTTCTCGCGCTCGACTGTGTCGTCGATGCGGTACTTCGTCATCAGCACCCACCGGTTCTTTATGATGTTCACCCAGGTGGGCGTTCGACCAACTCCCACGTCCCCATGCTAATGAGGCTGCGGATCTCTTCTTCCATGGTGGCCTTCACCGCCTTGCCCTTCCAGCTCGCCAATGCCTCCTTCACCGTCATCGTCGAGATGTCCCAACGGTGCTCGGGGTCGGCGTGCATGTTAGGATCAAGCTTCGGCAGCTCCTCATCGTCCTCGGCGTCGTCTTACGCCAGGTCATCGTCGTCCACGTCGTACATCGTGGTGAAGGCAGCGAGGAGAAAGAAGTCAGGCGGCCTTCGAAGTCGGCCCGTACGCCGCGGTCCACCTTGGACTTCCACCACGTCGCTGTCGGTAGACTCCTCAGTGTCCCCTCCATCGCCACTGTCGTTGCTGCCCTCAGCGTCCTGCTCCACCACGATCTTCGTGCTGGCCGACTCCCCTGCGATCGGCTCCCCTGCCGACTGCCCGGTCCCCGACTGCTCATTGGTCAGCTTCACTGCTGGATGCTCCCCTATC